GCGCCCAGGTGCGTTAACCCCTTCGCGCCCTGGCCCGCCGCCCCGCTGCCCCCATTTCTCCGAGGCGGAGCCCGAGGCTCGGGAGGCTCGCGGAGCCGCCCCAGCTCGCCCGGGCAGACAGCGAGTGGCTGAGTCGGTACCTCGGCTCCTGGAGGGCGACCGCCAAGGGGAGCCTCTCCCGGGTCTCTGGCCCTTCCCAGCCACGGCGCGAGGTGGCCGCTCCCGGGCGCCCTGAGGACCCCCATCCCCTTCCGGTCCCACTCGGACTGTTCCTGGAGGGGGTGCAGAAGTCGACAGGGTGACAAGCTCACTTCACTGGGGCCCCATCGACGGGAACTGGGGCTGACACCCACTCCCCAACCTCCTCTGTGCCCCCCAGAGGCCCCCTAACCCGGAGTCCCTCCTCATCTCTGGGGTTTCTCACCAACGGAAAGCCGGTAGGCTGGCCAAGCCTGAGGCTTTTGGGTGCACACCTGACGCCCTGACCAACCTCTCTTTTCATCTACCAGCAAATATTTCACTCAAAACCCTTTCTATCCCCAGTTCCTTAATCTGCTTGTGTGTGCCAGGCCCAGCTGTTCTGAGAGACCGGACTGTAGGTAGACAATCAGACGTGGAAGGGGCATTCTTGGGGCTGGAGGCTCTGGGTGACCTAGGTTCCTAACCAGGTGTCCTGGAGAATCCTCCATCCTGCTGACATGCAAGTGTCCCTTCTAGTCTTGTCCTGTTGGGGTCACAGTGCTGATATACAGTAGGGCCTCAGACATGCCCATAGAATTGAAGTGGAAGGCATTTTGAGGTCCCATAAATAATGACTAATGTGCAAGTTAACTGTGGTGGTGGCGAAAAATACTGAAAATATCACAGGCTGCTGGAAGAATGAACCAGTCTGTCTTAGAAAAAGTACAGCCAGAGTGTGCATTGGAAGCTAGAATGGCCAGACTTGTCTCACCTACTTTGGTCATGTTGTCAGAAGGGACCAGTTCCTGGGGATGGATATCATGCTTGGTCAAGTGGAGGGTCAGTGAAAAAAGGGGGGACCCTCAACTGTTGACACTGTGGCTGCAGTGATGGGCTCAGGAGTAGCCAAGATACTGAGGATGGCGGAGGATCGGGCAGCATTTCGTTCTGTTGCTAAGCGTCAGAGTTGACTCCACGGCACCTAACCACAACAGCAACGTGCAGGTGGTTGCTGTGTGCCAAGCACCGTTCGTGAATAACTCACTCAATTCGTGTGCTATGACAGGTAGTCCCTGATGTGTGAGTATTTGAGTTACCGCACTTAGGGACCGTGTTTTTATTTATTTATTTTACATCTTATTGTTACTAATATATACTACATGCATGCTGAGCTTGTAATTTGTTGTCATTCTCAGATGTTCACTGGGACGTTCTCAGATGTTCACAGGCAGCATTTATAGACATTGATAATAAAAGGCAACGATAATGAAAACTGAAGGAAAAAAAAGAGGTATCTGAGTTACCAGCTGGTCATCGGAACAGAACCCTGTCATGTCAAGGACTACCTGTATCACTATTCGCAGTTTACAGACGGAGGAAATGGAGGTGCAGAGAGAGGAAAGTCCATGGGGTGGGGTCCAGTAGTTAAAAAACCCAGAGGCCTGCCTAACTCCTGAGGCCAGCCCTGAGCCCTTCCTCAAGCCCTTCTCCCAGTGACGTGTGGAGGCTGGGAGGTCCCCAGGTGCCATCAGAACAGGTGGTGTAAAGCCTTGAAAGGGTCCAGGGTGCTTTAGCCAAGCTGGGTCCCAGGCCCCTTCCTCGAGATCCAAAGGGCTTTTGGAGGGAGAAGGAAAATGGGAATGTTCTAGAGGACTGTGCACTGATGGGGAATGTGAAGAGACTTCCAGGCAGACTCCCAGATGGAAGCCTTGGGGCTAGCTGGCGAGTGAGGCCCCACTGGAGCAGAGAGCAGGAGGAAGGCTGAGCTGCAGCCCAAATTCCGACTGGCCCGGCTTCCCGCTGCGAGGGTCCTCACCACCTGCTGCCCCACCCCCAGCCCGCTTCCCAGCTTGGCCCTGGCACCTGACGCCACAGAGTCCCAACTAAACACTTCATTCCACTGCCCAGGCTTCTGTGTTCTCCTCACCTCAGAGAAGGATGAAGGAGGTGGAGGGCCGCCCTGGGCCCCCCCTACACCTACACAAGGTGCCTGCTGAGAACAGCCCCCCTGCCCTCTTACTCTGATGCCGTGGGGTCTCCTCAAGTGCCTGGTTAGGGGCAGACGCACAGCTGTCCCCTGAGAAGGGCTTTTGAGTCTGGGCTTGGGGACTAGATGGCCAGGGTTGGGTCAGGGCACTGTACTTCCTGGCTGTCACTAGGGGCAGGTGGCGGATCCCCTGAGACCTCAGTTTCCTGCCACCACAGGGTGCAACAAGCAGGGCAGCTTGTCCCACGTAGTGAGGTGATGAGCGCCATGACTTATGGCTGCTGGTAATATTTGGCCCAACCCACAGGCCCTAGAACCCCCTCGGTTCAGGGGGTAGAGTGAGGGAGTACAGACAATATTCGTTCGTTTGTCAGGAGCATCTTGGTCAGTGGAGATAAACAGTTTGTGGTGAGGTATCTGTGTATCTGTGGTTAGGTCCAACTCAGAATAAGGAAATAAATGACAATTAAATTCTTGCACCCTGATGGGGTCGGATGAGGAAATAAATGACAATTAGAGTGTTGCATCCTGATGGGGTCGGGTGTGGGAGGCCCGCCTGGCTTGGTCGCCTTCAGCTCTCATCCCTGCCAGGGAGTGGTCTGACCAGTCTGGCCCACTCCACCTGTTTGGTCCCTCAGGGCACAACTGCCTCTCCCCAGGTCCCCAAGGAGGGAGACCAGTCAGCCAGCCCAGGAGAGGGTGGGGCTCTGCTGTCCTCCCCCCTCAACCCCTCATCCCTGTCCTAGCTTCAGGTAGAGCCCTGGAGGAAGGGTAGGAGGGTAGGAGCCTGTGGGCTAGGCAACAGAAGTCTCAGGCAGTGGCTGGAAGTGGGAATCGGGGTCACTTTGTGCTCCCCTAACTGAGAAATGCTGCTTAGATGGGAGCTTGGATGTGGCAGAACCCTAAGAAGTTCCCCACTCCCCTGGTCTCCCCCCTCCCCACACCCTTCCTGGCACTAACTTCTCCCTCTTCCTCCCATCTCTCCCTCCCCCTCCTCCTCCCACCTCTCCCTCCTCCGCTCCACCCTCTCCTCCTCCCCATCTCTCCCCCCCCCCACTTTCCTTTATCCCTCACCCCCCCACCCCCTCCAGGTCCTGCTGGTTGACTTGGCCACAGCACTGGGAGGGTTGGTCAGGCCTGGGCAGGATGAGGTGGAGGCTGCCTTAGGCCTGAAAGAACTGAAAACAGGGTGTGAGGAACCCCGGCACCTTGAAGAGTCCCCAGGCTGTGCTTGGCAGAGCCGGGTGCTCGGGTGGCTCTGACTGTGTCATTCGGATCAAGGGGATGCTTCAGAGGCTGGCGACTTGATTTCAGGTGTGTTTCTAAGTCCACACTGCTGGTGCTCACAGCAGGGGGCCTGTTAATGAGCTCCTGCCCCTGGAGTGTCAGAATATTGCTCAAACCCCTCTGCTGCGTCTGCGTGAGGATGACAATTCGTGGAGCAGTGCCCTGGGTCTAGAACTTTCCTTTCTCTAATTGGTCCTGGGTCCCCCACATAACGACCTCACGGAAGGTTAGCCAACCCATTTGTCCTCGACTTTGCCCTAGAGAGAAGCTTTCCTGTAAAAGGGCAGAGTGGGGCCTGCCAGGCCTGCAGAAGTGGGCAGAGTGTCTGTTTCCGTTTCTTGCTCATAGGCTTTGATGGTGGGGTAGCATTTGGTCTGAGGCTTGATTTCCTTGTAACTCACAAATGTGAGGAGGTGTGGGAGTGACCCATCTCTCATCCTCTGGTTACTGGAGGCTGCTGATAGCCACCACAGACAACCAGACCCACCCTGGGAACAGCCTGGATGGGCCTGGAAGGACCCCAAAGTGGCCAGTCAAGGGGTGCACCCTTTAGGCCAGGCACAAATGAGACAAACACATTTGTCTGCTCCCCCTTACTTTACCTCTTGGGCAGGATCTGCATTCATGGCAAGAAAGGAAAAGTGAAGGAAGACCATGTTTCTGGGGCAATGGCTCACCACTTAAGGAGTGGGAAGAAAGAAGAGCTGGCAGAGAAGTGGGGTGGGGCGGGAGGGGACTGGGGGGACAGGGAGGGCAGTGTTGTTTGTTTGTAATAGTGGTAGCTATGTTTATTTTTATTCATTTGTTTGGTCATTGATTCCACAAATGCTGAGCATCTCATAAGCGCCAGGTACTAGCCTGAGCTGTGGGGATGCAAGGCTGAATTGAGGCATGGTTCTGGTATCAGGAAGCATGCATGTCAACAGGTCATTGAAACAGAACACACATAATGTCATGCTGTCTCTGTGTCCATGTAGTTCTTTTGTTGTTATTTGGTCATCGTCTTCTTCTTCTTCTTCTTTTTTTTTTTTAATTTTTATTGTTATTTGGGTGGAAGTTTACAGAGCACATTCATTTTCCACACAGCACTTCATACACATTTTGTCTCGTAACATTGACTTGTGATTGCCCTCAATGTAACAGCTGTCTTCCCACTTCCTCCCTGTAGTCCCCTCTTCCCTGTGTCCTTCCCTCCCATGCACTCCCGCCCCACCCCCAGCCGTCTCCCTGTGCAAACACTGCCCTGTGTTCTCCCAGGATTGATCGCTGCTGCAAGGAGTGTATCTACCTGATATAAATGTTCACATGCCTGTCTGTTGTTTGGCTGGAAGCCACACGAGTGAGTTCAATTCCAGACCTCAAGGATAACTAGAGGCCATAGTCTCAGGGGTCTCCTCAGGTATCATCAGACTAGTAAACATGCTCTTTCTTTAATGATTTTAAGTTTTGTTCCACACTGTTCTCCCACTCTGTTCCGGATCTCTTGCACCAATCTGCCTCTGAGTGGTTGACAGTGATAACCGGGCACCATCTAGTTCTTCTGGTCTCATGGTCATATAGGCTGAGAATCGCATGGTCTATTAGTCCTCTGGACTGATTGTTTCCATGTGTCATTGGTTTTCTTCATTCTTCTTTGTTCTGGATGAGGAGAGACTATCGTTGTATCTAGATGGCCGCTTGCAAGCTTTTAAGACCCTAGTTGCTATTCACAAAAGCAGGATGTGGAACAATAGTTTTGTGTAGTGTTATGTCAATTGAAGGAAGCTCTGGTGGCGTAGTGCATAAGGCATTTTGACTGCTAACCAGAAGGCTGGTGGT